TCATGCGATTGTTTCTAACACATTTATAAGATTATTTCTTTGTTGCTTTGTATGTCCCTCTCCCACGGTATAACCCCTGCTTTCACTGTATTTGATGTTGTTATAATTTGTGGAGGGGAAAGGAAAAAACAAATCGTTTAAATAGGGATACAGGTGGACCCACTGCAACAATGAGATGTACTAGTCATTATGTGGAAAAGGAACTTTACAACTTTGGTAGGAGGGGGAGAAAGGGGGGGGGGAGGATGGAATGGGAAGGGGAAACAAAGGAGGAGGCTAGAATGCTTGATAAGAAATGTACTCATTATCTTGCCCATGTAATTGCAATCCCTCTGTACAGTATTTTTACAATAAAAAAAACCCTATATCCAACCATACCCATTTGGGCATCTGCTAATGTCAACAGTCAGGAAGCTCCATAAACAACCATCATTTTATTTAAATAATCCATTATGTACATTATAATTCTCTAATCTATGCCATAACCAGTGAAGTTTTACCAAAACAATTAAATTTATAGACAAGTCAGGCATGGTTAATAAGAGCTCAGATGCTCTGATAAAAAATGGTATTAATACTCAATCTAATTAAAATTAGTCTCAATTTACTCCAAAACAGTTAACAGTTAGCTGTCCTAGTAGCTGACTATTACTTTGCTAATAAATACATTGCTAATACTATTAGGCTAATCCTATAGATCTTGGACCAGTTGATTTATTAATTGGATTTATACACTGAAATATAGACAAACCTGCATCAATTAGACAGCATGGAATATTGTGTCTACTGATTTGTGTGTGGCATTGGGAGTGTCCCAGGGGAATCAGGCCCATGGTAAAAACAGAGCAAGTAGCTCTACACAGCAAAGTCTCTTGGCTCTCATGTAAGAGCAATACATTAACAAGTACAGTCTCTCTTGGTGACTGAAACCAGCCTTTATCACTAAGAGAAAATGAATCTAACAGAATATAAGAGATCCATAAATGATGTAAAAAGACACTCTCTCAAAAAAGCAGACCAGGGGCTGGGAAGGTGGCTCAGTGGTAGAGCGCTTGCCTTGCATGCCTGAGGCCCTGGGTTCGATTCCTTAGCACCACATAAGCAAAAAGAAGCCAGAAGTGGCACTGTGGCTCAAGTGGTAGAGCGCTAGCCTTGAGCTGAAGAGCTGAGGGACAGTGCCCAGGCCCAGAGTTCAGGCCCCACAACCGGACCCAAAAAAAAAAAAAAAGCAGACCACCAAGGGCCATATCTCCAACATTCATAGCATGTGTAAAGCTCAAAGGCATTTTATTTGACATTTTGTGGTGAACATTCTGTTATTCTAAAAGCCAACTTGGGAGAGCAACAGAGAAAAAGCTCTATTTAAAAAATCATAGCTGTGGGGCTGGGAAGGTGGCTCAGTGGTAGAGTACTTGCTTGCACGCATGAGGCCCTGGGTTCGATTCCTCACCACCACATAAGCAGAAAAAGCCAGAAGTGGCACTGTGGTTCAGTGGTAGAGTGCTCACGACTGACAAAAAAAAAAAAAATCATAGCTGTGCTAGGCACCAGTGCCTCACACCTATAATCCTAGCTGGTCAGGAGGCTGAGATGTGAGGATCATGGTTCAAAGCCAGCCCGGGCAGAAAAGTCCATGAGACTTTTATCTCCAATTAACCACTCAGAAAACTAGAAATGGTGCTGTGGCTCAAAGGTAGAGTGCTAGCCCTGAGCTGAAGAGCTCAGGGACAGGGCCCAGGCCTAGAGTTCAAGCCCCATGACCTACAAAACAAACAAAAATTATAGCTGCTTGATAAGTGCTGGTGGCTTGTGCCTACAATCTTAGCTACTCAGGAGGCTCAATGTGAGAATTGAGGTTAAAGCCAGTCTCGGCAGAAATGCCCAGTTATCTCTAATAAACTACCAAAAAGCCAAAAATGGAGCTGTGGCTTAAGTGGTAGAGCACTAGCCTTGAACAAATAAGCTAAGGGACAATGCCCTAATACCAGTGCAAACATGCTCACGCGTGCTCACACGTGCACACGCGTGCATGCACACACACACACACACACACACACACCATAGCTGCTATCTACCAGCACAAGCATACGCATATACACACATAGACACAGACACAGACACACAGACACACAGAGACACACACAGACACACACAGACACACACACACACACGCCATAGCTGCTATCTTCCTGAAACCTAAAAGAGCAATAATTTAATGAAGTGTGATTTTACAGTATAGAAACAGTTGTAAACTTACTGAATTGTATCTTTCTAAATTAAGTTAGGCATTAATGTGCTTCTATAACAATAAAGAAGCTTTATCTGCCTAGATGTATCAGAAAGCAGAATAAATTGTCAAAGAAAACAGAATGGAAGGGCTGGGAAGGTGATTCAGTGGTAGAGCGCTTGCCTTGCAAGCCAGAGGCCCTGGGTTCGATTCCTCAGCACCACATAAGCAAAAAGAAAAAAAAAGCTGGAAGTGGCGCTGTGGCTCAAGTGGTAGAGCGCTAGCCTTGAGCTGAAGAGCTGAGGGACAGCGCCCAGGCCCAGAGTTTAGGCCCCACGACCGGACCCAAGAAAAAAAAAAAAGAAAACAGAATGGGAAGGAAAGTTGAGAGTTTAGACACTGGATTATATTATTTAATATTCAATGTATCAGCTTACATAGTTATGTACTCTGAGGTAATAGATCAGTAAAAGAGAGAAAAAAAAACAAAGCTTTGGAAAAATTTAGCTTGTTAAAAGGTAAGAAAAAGCAAGCAAGATTATCAGATTCTCTTCTCATCATCACCTTTAAAAGAACACCTTGCAAAACTTATTTACATGAGCAGAAGAAGCTGCTTTCCCAAAGCTTGGCATAATTAAAGCTCATCCACAACCATCTGAGGTGCTTGAACATATCTGCTGGGACTTGCCTCTCCCTAAGGAGCTGTAGCTGAAACCGATTTGCTAGTTTCATCAATTCAGTCAGGAACACATCATCCTCTCTGAATTCCAACTCATCTGTGTAGATCCAGCGAAGCATTGTCATTGTCACATCAGGATTAGCATCTAGATAAAGGAAGAAAATAGATGGAAAAACTGAAAAACACTGCTTGACACACTTGGGCCTTCTGAAGGAATCCCTAAAATTAGAGGATATTAGGGCTGGGAAGGTGGCTCAGGAGTACAGTGCTTGCCTCCCATGCATGAGGCCCTAGGTTCAATTCTTCAGCACGACATAAAGAGAAAAGGCCAGAAGTGGTACTGGGGTTCAAGTGGTAGAGCACTAGCCTTGAGCTGAAGAGCTCAGGGACAGCACCCAGGCCTAGAATTCAAGCCTTATGACCAACCAAAAAATAAACAAACAAACAATAAATAAATAAAATTAGTAGATAAAATGTACATTATGGGCAGGAGCCAGTGGCTCATGCCTATAATCCTAGCTATTCAGGAGGCTGAAATCTGAGGATCACAGCTCAAAGCAAGCCTGGGCAGGAAGGTCTGTGAGACTCTTATCTCCAATTTACCACCAGAAAACTGGAAGTGGCACTGTAGCTGAAGCACTTGCCTTGAGCTGAAAAGCTCAGAGACAGTGCCCAGGCTCCAAGTTCGAGCCCCACAACCAACCAACCAAAAAAAAAAAAGTACTTTATGGCTGAGTGCTGGTAGCTCAAACCTGTAATCCCAATTATTCAGAGGGCTGAGATTTGAGGTTCAAACACAGCCTGGGCAGAAATGTCCATAAGTCTTATCTCCAGTGAACCATCAAAAAGCTGGAAAGTGGAGGTGTGCTTCAACTGGTAGGGACCAACCTTGAGCGGAAAAAGCCAAGAAAGAGTGTGAAGCCCTGAGTTCAAGCCCCTGTACGGTACCATATAAATAATAAAGTACATTGTGGTACATCCAACTCAAAGAAATATATAACTCAAATAAATACACAACAAAAATGATGATGTCAAATGGGCAACAAGTTTTTTTTGTATTGGTTTGCTTTGCTTTGTTTTGTTTTTGCTGGTTCTAGGGCTTGAACTCAGGGCCTGGACACTGTCCCTGAGCTTCTTTTGATCAAAGCTAGCACTCTACCTCTTGAGCCACAGCACCACTTCTGGCTTTTTCAGTGTAAATGGAATTGAGGAATCAAACCCAGGGCTTCATGCATGCTAGGAAAGCACTCTACCATTAAGTTATATACCCAGCCCCATGGGCAGCAAGTTTTCAACAGGGAAGTGGGTGAGGATAAAGAAACTGCTAAAGATGTAGGTTAAATCCACTGGAGAGAATATCTGTTATCTGATATACAACAAAAACTTAAACAGAACTTCAAATAAAAATGGAATGGATACCCAATTGAAAAATAGACAACGATAAAGGAAAATAGCTAACAAGGTTTTTTGTTTTGTTTTGTTTTTGCCAGGGCTTGAACTCAAGACCTGGGCACTGTCCCTGAGCCTAATTATGCTCAAGGTTAGTGCTCTATCGCTTGAGCCACAGCACCACTTCTGGCTTTTTCTGATTAGCTTATCATAGGTAAGAGTCTCACAGACTTTTCTGCCAGGACTGGCTTCAAACCATGATCCTCAGATCTCAGCCTCCTTAGCAGCTATGATCACAGACATGAGCCACTGGCACCCAATTAACAAGTCTTATTAAAAACCAAACACAAAAACAAAAAGATAAATGTAAAACATTTAGTTCTAGATATTTCAAGCCGGGCACTGGTGACTTACGCCTGTAATCCTAGCTACTGAGACTGAGATCTGAGGATCGAGTTTCAAAGCCAGCCCGGGCAGGAAAGTCCTTAAGACTCTTATCTCCAATAAAAAAAAAAAAAAAAACACTGGAAAACTGGAAGTGGTGCTGTGGCTCAAGCAGTAGAGTACTAGCCTTGAGCTGAAGAATGCAGGGACAGCACCCACCCCCCCAAAAAGGTATTTCAACTGATATTAGCTTTATCATTTGAAAAGAGTATTGAGTGAAATATAGGGAATCACATTCCAGTCCCCATTGTTTCTGAGATGACACTGGAGTGATTTTGTGTATGTGTGTGTGTCTGTGTGTGTGAGTCCTGGGGCTTGAACACTGGGCCTAGGTGCTGTCCCTGAGCTTTTTGCTCGCTTACCACTTGAGCCACCACACCATTTCCAACTTTTTGCTGGTTATTTGGAGGGAAGAATCTCATGGACTTCCCTGCCCAGGCTGGCTTATAAATAAATAAATAAAGCAAAAACAGAGTATATTTTGTCTCTCAGACTAGCCAAGATTTTTGAAAGTACCTAATCTTTTACACAACTATATGCATAGATTATTATCTTAAGAAAAAAAATATTGGGCAGGGAAGGTGGCTCAGTGGTAGAGCGCTTGCCTTGCATGCTTGAGTCCCTGGGTTCGATTCCTCAGCAGCACATAAGCAGAAAAGAAAAAAGCCAGAAGTGGCACTGTGGCTCAAGTGGTAGAACGCTAGCCTAGAGCTGAAGAGCTGAGGGACAGTGCCCAGGCCCAGAGTTCAGGCCCCACGACCGGAACAGAAAAAAAAAAAGAAAAGAAAAAAAACTATGTGCTGGAAATGTAACTCAAGTGGTAGAATAACTGTCAAGGAGTGCAGAAGCCCTGAGTTCAAACCTCAGTATCACAAAAACTGGAAAAAAGTATGCATCAGTTAAAACTATCTGTCAAGTGACAGTGGCATATACCTGTAGTTCTAGCTATTCAAGGAGGCTGAGATCTGAGGAGTACAGTTCAAAGCCAGCCAAAGCAGGAAAGTCTATGAGACTCTTATCTCTAGTTAATGACTAAAAAGACAGAAGTGGAGCTGTGGCTCAAGTGATAGAGCACTAGCCTTGAGCATAACCATTCAGACAGTGCCCAGGCTCAGAGTTCAAGCCCAATGAATGGCATACACTCAAAGTTTTATCTCAACCAATGGCTAAGCATAATGACTCTCACCGGTCATCTCCAGGGACCGGAAGAAGCACAAGAGGGAGAACTGCAGCCCAAGAGGGCCTGGACATAAAGCAAGACCCTGTTTAAAACTTAGGCAATGCTAAAAAATACTAAGGGTACAGTTCAAGTGGTAGAGCACCTGCCTACCAAATGGGAAGCCCTGAACTCAATTCTCACATTGAAAAAAAAATTACCCAGTGGGGTGTCAGTGGCTCACGCCTGTAATCCTACCTACTCAGGAGGCTGAGATCTGAGGATCATGGTTCAAAGCCAGCCCAGGAAGGAAAGTCTGTGAGTCTCTTATCTCCAATAAACCAATAGAAAACTGGAAGTGAGGGGCTGGGAAGGTGGCTCAGTGGTAGAGCGTTTGCCTTGCATACGTGAGGCCCTGGGTTTGATTCCTCAGCACCACATAAGCAAAAAGAAAAAAGCTGGAAGTGGCACTGTGACTCAAGTGGTAGAGCGCTAGCCTTGAGCTGAAGAGCTGAGGGACAGTGCCCCAGGCCGAGTTCAGGCCCCACGACCGGACCCAAAAAAAAAAAAAGAAAAGAAAAAGAAAAAGGAAACTGGAAGTGACACTGTGGAGTAAAGCAAGTAAGCAAGCAGTAGAGTGCTTGCCTTAAGTTGAAGAGCACAGGGACAGCGCCTAAGCCTAGAGTTCAAGCCCCACCAAAAAAAACCCCAAACAAACCAACCAGAAGAAAAAGAGAAGATGAATATGAAAAACAAAAGATTAAAAGAGACCTGTGCAGGGTTGGGAATGTGGCTTAGTTGTAGAGTACTTGCCTAGCATTCATGAAGCCCTAGGTTCGAATCCTCAGTACCACATAAACAGAAAAAGCCAGAAGTAGTACTATAGCTCAAGTGGTAGAGTGCTAGTCTTGAGCAGAAGAAGCTCAGAGACAGTGCTCAGGCCCTGAGTTCAAGCACCAGGACCAGCTTGCACATATGGATGCACATGTACACAGACACACGCGCGCGTGCACACACACACACACACACACACACACACACACACACACAGAAGGGGGATGGGAGGAAGAGGTACCAGTGCCTCATGCTGTAATCGTCACTATTCAGGAGGCTGAGGCTAAGATCAGAGGCAGTTCCAAGCCAGCTAAGTCATTAAAGTCTGTGAGACTCTTATCTCCAATAAACTACCAAAAAGCCTGAAGCAGAACTATAATTCAAGTGGTAGGGCACTAGCTTAAGAGCACAAAAGCTCAAGGACATTGCCCAGGCCCTGAGTTCAAGTCCCAGGATTCCTGCTCCCTCCCCACACACACTCACACAATAAAAGACACACAATTGGCAAGGGTTACTCAGAAGGCTGAGATCGAAGTTCTTGGTACAAAGCTAGCCTGAGCAGGAAAGTTCATGAGACTCATCTCTAATTATCAAAAAAGAAGAAGTAGAGCTGTGGCTCAAATGGAAGAATGCTAGCCACGAACAAAAAGCTCTATAACCTTATATATAAGGTTTCTAAGGCAGTTAAATTCAGTTTCAGAAAATAGAAATGTATTTGCCATGGACTTGGGGCGAAGTAATGGAGAACTGCTGTTTTATGGATGTAAGCTTTAAGTTTTGCAAAATGAAGAAATTCAGCAGAGCGCCAGCAGTCCAAACCTGTAATCCTCACTACTCAGGAGGCTGAGATCTGAGGATCACAGTTCAAAGCCATCCCAGCAGGAAAGTCTGTGACACTCTTTTGTGTATGTCAGTCATAGGGCTTGAACTCTGGGCTTGAGCACTTTCCCTGAGCTCGTCAGCTGAAGGTTAGTTCTCTACCACTTGAACCACAACACCAGAAAAACTTGTTTTTCTGATGGTTAATTGGAGATAAAAGTCTTACTGGCTTTCCTGCCTGGGCTGGCTTTGAATCATGATCAGCTCCAATTAATCACAGAAAAAGCCAGAAGTGGGGTTGTGTGTCAAGTGGTAGAGTGCTAACCTTGAGCCAAAGAAGCTCAGGGACAGTGCCCAGGCCCAGAGTTCATGTCCCAGGAATGGAAAAAAAAGAAAAAGAAAAGGAAAAAGATGAAGTAGTTCTGGAGAATGGCTATAGAACAATTTGAATATAATTAGTGTTACCTAACTGAAGATGTTTGTTTTGTTATATATATATTTTATGAGAATTTAGAACAACTTTTGCTGAAAACAACTATAGAAAAATGGTGACACATTGCACACAGGGGAAAGATTCCAATAACCACATCTTTCAATAAATGCTGAGAAGATATAAAAACCTACTAGCTGAGATTTTTATGTTCAACAAATGTATCCTTTAGATATGAAGGCAAAACAAAGACATCCTGAGATGAAAAAAGACAATTTGTAACTGGGAGATTCTACAAAAATTGCATAGGAAACCCCAGCACCGGTGGCTCCCGTGTACTACTCAGAAGGCTGAGATCTGGGAATCACAGTTCAAAGCCAGCCCAGCAGACCAACCTGTAACACTCTATCTCCAATGAACTAATAGAAAAGATGGAAGTGGAACTGTAACTCAAGTGGTAGAGCTCCAGGCTTAAGTGAAAATGCAATGGGACAGCACCCAAACCCTGGGTTCAAGCCCCAATACTAGAGACAGACAGACAGACAGACAGACAGACAGACAGAAAGACAGACGGAGTAGACTACACCGTTAAACAAGTCTTACCAAAAGACTTGTGCCAAGCCCAGTGGCTAACGCCTGTAATCCTAACTACTCAGGAGGCTGAGATCTGAGGATCTTAGTTCACAGCCAGCCGGGGCAGGAAAGTCTGTAAGACACTTATCTCTAATTAACCACTAGAAAACTGGAAGCAGTGCTGTGGCTCAAGTGGTACAGCGCTTGCCTTGAGCTGAAGAGCTGAGGGATAGAGTCCAGGCCCCACAATGGACCAAAAATATTATTGCGTTAGGAATGTGGCTTAGTGGTAAAGTGCTTACCTAGCAAGCATAAAGCCCTGGGATCAATTCTTCAGTACCACATAGACAGAAAAAGCCAGAAATGGCACTGCGGCTCAAGTGGTAGAGTGCTAGCCTTGTGCAAAAGCTCAGGGACAATGTCCAGTGCCAGTCCCAGGACTGGCAAAAAAAAAGGAAGTTAGGAAGTTAGGAAGGAAGGAAGGAAGGAAGAAAGGAAGGAAGGAAGGAAGGAAGGAAGGAAGGAAGGAAGGAAGGAAGGAAG